AGGTCAGGCATAGTAGCCCAAATCCATAACCAATACTCTTATGGCAAGATGGAAGACAGAGCTAGAGAATCCTCTGAAACTCAAGAGACAACAGCTGGTTATGCAGCTGTGAACAACAAAAGACACTCTGCAAACAAGGTGGAAGACACATGTGTGTTCTTCTAACATGTGTGTGAAGTTAAACAGGGCCAAGAAGGGTGAGATTGCTCAGTTGGTAGAGGCGCTTGCTACCAAGCCTGTCAACCTGAGTTCAATTCCTGAAACCCACATGAGTGGAAACAGCCAACTGTCACAAGTTGTCCCCTAACCTCTGCTTGCATACAGTGGCATGTGCACTCTTCAGGCAGCAAATAAATAAAAGTAATTTAAAGAAAGGGGACTCTGGGATATAGAGTTCCTGCCCAAGCATGTGTGAAGCCTTGGTTCAATCCCGATGCTAAAAGGAAGACAAAAAAGAAAGAGGAAGAAAAACAAAACGAGAACAAAAGCTCACAGCCTTGAGGCTTTTAAAGAACATATAAACAAGGCTGCCAAGACCATGGAACCCAGTGGGGACTGGAGCAGAGGCAAAAGGAAGAGAGATGTGCTTGGACAATCAAAGGCCCACACTTCTGTGTAAGGGCTGGAAAGAATTCCAGTCCTAACCCATGACTTACACCTAGTCTGTGATAAAGACATAATCACTTCAAAGCTCCTATAGGAACGCTACGCACCTGAAATAAACCATCATGGGTTCACGCTCTCTGCCAGGTCTTTTGCTATTGCGTGGTAGGGGTGGCACAAACTCAAAACAGAAGGATGCAGGCAGAGGCTTTGACATTGCTGTGAAAATGCTTGGAGCCTTAGCAACGCCGTAGGCAGGTACCAGGATCGTAAGGCCTCTCAGAAAGTACCTCTTCTTCAGTATGGATTTAGACTGTACTGTCTACAGAATAACTACTTTTGAAGTGTGTTTGATCCACATTTAGCCGCCTCACTGCCATCCCCACTTGTTCTAAAAGACCAACTCTGAACAATGAGAAGCAGGCACAGCTTGTCACTTCTCATGGGCAGAAAGACTTTAAAGGGACAGAACTTTGAGGTTCAGAACTGCCGCACCTGCACCAAGCTGTCTGCTGCAACCTGTCCCATACATACCTCCATCTTGCTTCCATATGATTCTGGACTGACTAACAAATGTGGGAGTTTTCTACTGTTTCTTCTTCTGATGAACTTGCCCCTTATGTCTCGGGGAGTATGGTTTTCTGTACAGAGCCTACTGGAGGTTTTGCTGGTGGAGAACTGGAAGGTGGTTTCTTTCTGGGATTGAAAGGAAGTCTGGGACAGGGGACAATCAAGTTAGTAACTGAATGTACATCTAAAGAGGCAGCTGTGAAAAAACTGACCAGGTAATGTTATTGTAACCCCCTTAGGGAGGAATGACGTCCCATTTGTTTTTGTTTCAAAACAGGGTCTCTCTACAAAGCCCTGGCTGTCCTGGAACTCACTATGTAGACCAGGCTAACCTCAAACTCACAGAGTTCTGCCGGCCTCTGCCCCTCAGGTGCTGAGATTAAAGGTGTGCACCACTACACCTGGCTGACACATACGCTCTGAGATTTCTTATTAATAGCATTTCCCTGCAGCGACTCCTGTCACTGCAGTGAAGATGGCTGCCTCAGGTTCCCGTGCTTGAGGGAGCAGATGAAAGTAGGGTTAGCAAAGAGGCTAGCTTTTCCACTCCTTGTTAGCGTCTCTGGAAGTCACTGTGAAGGGGAATCTCACTGCAGGAGCCTTTGGAGCACCTGAAGGTGGAGGGGACAGCTAAGGGAACAAACACCAAGTGGGGCTAGGAGCAGCAAGGTGATGGCTGTGTGAGCATGGGACTTGAATTAGAAACCCAGAACCAACAAAAAGCCAGCAACTGTGACATGTGTCTCTCATCACAGTGCTCGCATGGTAAGGTGGCAGAGACAAGAAACTGCCCTGAAACTTTCATACCTGTTAGCCTGCCCCACAGAACTGTGAACAACAAAGAGACCCCATCTCAAACGAGGTGAAGGTAACACCCACCAATGCCCTCTGACCTCCATGTGTGTGCATAAGTACATCTGCATATGTGCCTGCACATCCCAACACACACACACACACACACACACACACACACACACACACACACACACACACACACGTCTGTTATGAGGGAGAAGTGATCCAGGCATGAGTATGCCCTGGGAATAGCCTCTTGTGAGGCCTGAAAGATTTAACCCCCACTTGTGGCAAAAGGGTAGGACAAGGGCAACATCTCTGAGAATGAGGTTGGGGATGGATACCCGTCCCTCCCCAGACTCAGAGTCAAGCCCAGCATACTGCCTCTCTCTCATGCTGGCCCTAAGAAGCCAGGCTGTAGACTAGACGATGACTTCCTCATTGTTCCCTGCTTAGGGACAGGGCCCTGGTAGCAGGCAGGACAGCCTGTGGTCACCCGAGGACACTCCACATGCCACTTCCTCCTGGCAACTCGGTGAACCTACTAGTACCTTTGCTTGTCCCCACTGCCCCAGGAAGAGCAAAGCTGAGCTCCCAAGAGGATGAGTGGGGTGAAGGGCCTTGCTCTCTGAGGGAACATTCCACTGTAACCCACATAAGCTGCACTTCAGAGACCACAGTTGACCTGCTCAGTCTAGAACCCTGCCCAGCACCCAAGTTCATCTAGAGATGAGACCCAGAGCCCAGACCTCAAAACCATCCCAGTGCTAATGTATAATCCAGAGCCCAGAACCCAGAGCCCAAGCCAGACCAACCCTAGTCCAAAGTCTCAAGCTCAGACCTCAGCTTGCAGAACTCAGAGAACCACCTGTACTAGGCCCAAAGTCCAGCCTGAGCCAAAGACCAAGGCTCAGAACTTTTGTTCAATCCCAGGACTCGACCCAGCTCAGAGGCTCAAAGCCTAGGGCTCAGAAGGCCTAAACTCTGGTGTTAGCATTCAGACCAAAGCTAAACCACAGCAGAGCAGTGGAGTCCAGCTCAGAACACACCCAGAAACCTAGAACCCAGATCAGGCCAGGTCCCATCTTTGTTTTTTGAGACAGGGTTTTTCTGTGTATGTAGCCCTGGTTGTCCTGGAACTTGCTCTGTAGACTAGGCTGGCCTCAAACTCAGAGTTCTGCCTGCCTCTGCCTCCAGATTAAAGGCATGTGCCACCACCTCCAGGCTTGCCAGGCCCTATCTTAATTCCAGATTTAAGAGTCCAACTTTAGCTCCAAAGCCACACAGAAACTTTCTTGAAAAACCAAAAGAACAAAAAAAAAAAAGAAAAAAGAAAAAGAAGAGTCCAACTTTCAGCTGGGCATGCTAGTGCATGCTTTTAATCCCCAAACTCAGAGGCAGGTGTATCTCTGTGAGTTTGGGGCCAGCCTGCTCTACAGATCCAGTTACAGGACAGCCAGGGCTACACAGGGAAACCTTGTCGTGAAACTTGAATGGGATTCCAACCTAGCACTCTGCACGCAGCCCAGAGGATACCATACTGGCTCCCTGACGCTCTCCTTAGCACTGTCCAAAAACAGTGCAAGGATAGATGCTAAGGAGGGGGTTTCAGATGCCAAGATAACCCCTGGCGAGAGCTCCTGGGAGGGAGGTGCAGAAGGGCAGGTGGGTGTTCTGTGGTCTGGATAATCCTCTGTGAGTATTCAGAGACCAGGCAAAGCAGAAGGCTTTCTCTGCAAGGGCTGTTCCTCAGAAGCAGACAGGATGGGCTGGGAAGTTGCCGCTGCTGCTTCTGCTGCTGCTGTTTAACTTTGGGCAAGTCCTGTCTCTCTCTGACCTCAGCACTCATGGGAAATTAGGAGATGCTTACTGAGTCTGAAACCCAGAAGCAGGAGACAAGACTACCACTGAAGACCCTTCTCTTGGGGTCTGGAGGTTCTCAGTCTTATGTAGCCCAGTCTGGTCTTGAAGTTGATGGGTAGCCAGCAAAGGCCTTGAACTCCTGATCTTCCTGCTTCTGGCTTTCCAGGGCTGGAAATATAGGGGTGTGCCACCATGCCCCACATAACATATTCCTTACTAACACTTATTGACTGTTTAAAATAGGTTGCTTCAAATGGGGATAAAATAGATTTTCTTTTTCTTTTTTAGACCAGGTATCCTGTATCCCAGACGGGCCTCAAACTTGATTTGTATATGAGGATGGCCTTCTGTTGCTCCTGCCTCTACCTCCCAAATGTTGGGATTACTTGTGTGTACCACACTGGCCAGATTATGCTGCCCTGCAGACTGAACCCAGCATTTTAGGCATACTGGATAAGCACTCTACCAACAACTACATTTCGTGTGTGTGTGTGTGTGTGTGTGTGTGTGTGTGTGTGTGTGTGTGTTGTATTCAGTTGCATGTGCACATGTGTGAACATACACGTGGAGACCAGAGGTCAATGCTAGAGGTCTTCCTCAATCATTCTCCACCTTATTTTTAAGTTTTACATTTATTTGTGTGTGTGTGTGTGTGTGTGTGTGTGAATCAATGTACAACTGGCAGGAGTTAGTTCTCTCCTTTACCACGTGGATCCCAGGGACTGAACTCAGGTCATCAGGCTTGTCAACAAGTGCCTTTCCTCACCGAACCGTCTCATTGACCCTCCAATTTATTTTTGAGACCTGTCTCTTACTGAATTTGGAACTCGTCAACTGGGCTAGACTCACTCGCCTCCTTTCTCAGCACTGGGATTAGAGGAACATGCTCAGGTTTTTACATGAGAGCCTGGGATCTGAACTCAAGGTTTTTTTTTTGTTGTTGTTTTTGTTTTCTTTCGAGATAGGGGTTCTCTGTGTAGCTCTGGCTGTCCTGGAACTTACTCTGTAGAAGAGGTTGGCCTTGAACTCAGGAATCTACCTCCCTCTGCTTCCCGAATGCTGGGACTGAAGGCGGGAGCCACCATTGCCCCACTTTGAAAGACCCCCGTACTAGGGATACTTTCAATCTGAGAGACCCCCCCAAGGACCAGCGAGGCCACACGTATGGATGCAATCAGCAAGAGGTTTTATTGATCACACATACGGGTACCCGGGCGTCTTGGTCTCGGGAACCAAGCGCGCCCAGATGGGGAACGGGGGTGCCTTATATAGCGAAAAGCGTGGGTACAAAAGCGGATGCATGGTCACAGGATTTTCGTTGGTCAAATTTAATGGGGCGAGAGATTTAGACTGGGGCCACCTGGCTTGAATACAAGGAAGTCGCAGGAGGTTGACTTAGCTTTCATCTCGGGCACATTGTGGATGGGAAACTCCCCGGTGTTAACTCCCCAGTTCTGGATGGCCGACCACTAATATCCTGTTTGTCAAGCCCTCGAGGCGCCAGGGGCCCTCGACCTTAGCGTGAACTCAGACAGTTCCTGGTGGGCTATGTCGGTAGGGGCCAGGGGCCCTCGACCTTAGCGTGAACTCAGACAGCTCCTGTTGGGCTATGTCGGGAGGGGGTCTTTCATTCCCCCATTTCTCTTGTGACTGAATGGAATCCTTCATTCAAGTGCTTTAGTTAACTCTGGATCCATCTGTTTAAGTTGTTGATACTGTTGTGTTAAAACCATTGCATGTATGACAGAGAACCTATCTTTCACGAACTGGGTTAAACGGTTAAGAAGGCAGGGCCCCAATATCAGAATGAGAATGAGGACCATTATGGGCCCTGTTATGGCAGAAATTAGGGTAGTAGACCAGGGTGACCTATTGAACCAGCCCTCAAACCAACCCTGTTGGGCATCTAAGAATTTCTGCCTCCGATCTAATCTCTGCCTCAGCTTGGCCATGTTGTCTCTTACGATTCCAGTGTGGTCGGTGTAGAAGCAACATTCTTCCTTTAGAGCTACGCATAATCCCCCTTCCTTAAGGAACAATAAGTCCAGACCTCTCCTATTCTGCAAGACTACCTCAGACAGAGACTTGAGTGACTTCTCAAGGGCCGTTACTGATTCCTCAAGGATTCTAATGTCCGACTGCATGGCTGTCTGCAGTTGGTGGTACTGGGTGGTTTCTGAGAGAGCCTTAGCACCAGTGCCTATCCCGGCCGCTATTCCCCCAACCCCCAATATGAGGGCCAGCGTTAATGTGACTGGCTCCCTTCTAATTCGAAGTTGGGATCTTTCTTCGAACTGGCTGACAAAATATTCTGAGGTATGATAAGTAATTCTCGGCCATAGCTGGACTAGGACACAGTAGTCCCGGGACATGTTCATAACGGCGGTAGATACACAGGGAGTCAGACCTGTGCTGCACGCCCAGTAAGTGCCATTAGGGGCGGCCAAATAGTATGCTCCTGGGCCCAAGGTCTGGGTAGAGTTGCAGAGGAGGGTATGAGAGGGAGGAATTTTCCCTAGACATGTACCCTGTCCTGAGACTTCAGTTAGGGTCAATCGGTGTGAGGATCCCTCGGTACACGTAGGCGGTGGGGAAGTGTGGTTGGAGTAGTTCCCGACCACTGCAGTGCCCTCATAGTAGGGAGGGCTTGACATTAAGCAGAGCCAGCAATCCTGAGTCTTGTCAGGTTGAGTCCCATTTAGGGCTAGGTAGGCCCCTTGGATAAGGCCTATAAGCCGGTCCCCCGTGCCGGGTTGGGCAGCCTCAGTGGTGCTGGTGGGGGGCGAATTGGTGGCGTTCGGTGAGGGAAGGCGTTCGGGCTTAGGGCCGGATGGGTCGGAGGGATGTCGTTGGTCCGCCAGCACGGGGTTTGGCCCGATAGGGGCCGAATTAGTTTGGGAGGTTAAACGGATTCTGAGGATAACGCCTCTATCTTCCCATGGCATGTGCCATCTCAGTCCCCAGGTTTTTCCTTTTAACCACTGAGTATAGTCCTGTTTGCCTTTTTGGGTGAAGGTAATGTTGAGGGGGAGACAGGTAGCTGATTTACAGGACCAAGAGCCCCATCTACCAGGGCCATGATCACAATCAAAGCGGCCCAGAGGGGGCCGTGAATAATTACGGTGTATCTCAATCAGGTCCCAGGATGATCTGGGTTTCCAGTAGGCATCCCCCGTGGTCTCACAGCCCCAATTGGCACAGAAATAACTCTCGTATCCCCCACATCTTAAGGCTCGAGACTGTCTTTGTTGAGGACAGACGTAGAAGTCCATTTGTGCCAGGAGACATCTAGCTCTAGGATTGCGGCACCCTTGTGGCCAGGTCTTTCCTAGGGGTGGCGGGGGGACTGTATATTTTGAGTCATCTCATGAGCCCCGACTGTGGAGATATCCCAGGTCTCCAGCCCGGCGGCCAGGTGGCAGAAGTCGGGAGTGAGGGTGGGCCACCAGGTACCCGGCGCGTGGTAGCCTGAGAGAGACCAGACCACCTCCCCCGTCTGGGAGAACACCTGCCAAGTTAAGAGCTGCGGGGTGTGAGGGCTCCCCTCTACTCGCACAAGGCACAGTAAAACAATTAAACAACCCGGGAGAGTCTTATCTTTAGAGGGTTTTGGGTGCGATGGGCTGTCCATGTTCCTTGCGGCTGAGGGTCGTCTGATCGGACTGGCTTGACGTGGCTCGCGTGGATCCAAGCGGCAATCCCGTCAACCTTTACCGCGGTAGGGGTGGTCAACAGAACCAAATATGGTCCCTTCCAGCGAGGTTCGAGGTTTTTGGTCTGATGGCGTCTGACCCAGACAGCGTCTCCGATCTGATACGGATGAGGCACGACCGGATTGTCTCTCTGGTCCCGGTACGCCTGGGCTAGAGGTTCCCACACCTCCTTCTGGACCAGCTGGAGGGCCTGTAGATGGGCTTGTAGAGAAGGGGTATTAGCATAGTCAGAAACATCGGGGCCTAAGAAATTAATAATGGGCACCGGGGCCCCAAACAGGATCTCAAATGGGGTTAACCCATGTGGTCCGGGCGTGTTCCTAGCCCGATACAGGGCAAGTGGTAGCAGGAGGACCCAGTCTCTAGTGCCAGTTGCAAGCGTTAATTTGGTTAAGGTCTCCTTAATTGTTCTGTTCATTCTCTCTACCTGTCCTGAGCTCTGGGGTCTGTATGCACAATGTAATTTCCAATCGATCCCCAACAAGGTGGCCACTGTTCTGCTTACCTGGGAGATGAAGGCGGGACCATTATCTGACCCTACTACCTGGGGCATCCCGTATCGGGGGAAGATTTCTTCCAATAGCTTCTTGGCCACCACAGCGGCAGTCTCGTGCCTTGTCGGGAATGCTTCCGGCCATCCTGAAAAGGTATCTACAAAAACCAGTAGATATTTATATCCATACTTGCCCGGTTTTATTTCAGTAAAGTCTACTTCCCAGTGAGTGCCGGGCCTGTGACCTCTGGTTCTTATACCCGGAGGCAGCTTGATTTTAGAAGCATTCACTCTGGCGCAGGCGTCACAACGTTCGGTGATTTCTTTGAGAAGATCGTTCTTCTGTAGAAAGAAGTAGACCTCTTCTTCCCGTTCCAGAAGCTTTTTCATTTTCTGGTAGCTGAGATGTGTGAGGCGATGCAGCCAGGAGATCAAATGGCGGCCCATTTCGTAGGGCAACACTACCTTTCCTTGGTACACCCATTTCCCAGTTTTTAGATCTTCCCGTGCTCCCAGGGAGTGCAGAGCCTTGACATCTTGTTCCGTGTATTCCCATCGGGAGTCACCATGATGAGGTCTAGAGTCAACCGATAGGACTTCGACCCGTTTTTCCTCAGTGGCGGCCGCCCTCGCCGCCCAGTCAGCCATCCTGTTGCCTCTTGCAACTGGAGTGTCCCCTTTCTGGTGCCCTGGGCAATGGATGATGCTGAGAGCTCGCGGCAGATGAATGGCCTGTAGCAAGGCTAGTATTTCTTTTTTATTTTTAATCTCTTTTCCCTCCGAAGTAAGTAAACCTCTCCTTCTGTATATTTCGCCATGGATGTGGGCCGTGGCGAAGGCATATCTGCTGTCGGTATACACCGTCAATCTCCTTCCCTCCGCCAGTCTTAGAGCCTGGGTCAGAGCTACGAGCTCCGCTTTCTGAGCGGAGGTTCCTGCAGGTAGAGCTTGGGACCATATTACCTGATCTTCCGTGGTCACCGCCGCACCGGCCCGCCGCTCTCCGTGTTCCATGAAGCTGCTCCCGTCCGTGTACCAGACGTGTTCAGGGTTGGGGAGGGGCAAGTCTGAGAGGTCTGGGCGAGTGCCATGTACCTCGGCCAGGATCTGCTGACAATCATGGTGTTCGGGGGTGCCAGGGAGAGGTAGGAGGGTGGCTGGATTTAAGGCCACCGGGGCCCCATACCGGATTCGGTCGGTATCTAATAGTAAGGTTTGGTAATGAGTCATTCTCGCATTGGTGAGCCACCTGTCCGGAGGTTGTCGGATGATTGCTTCAACAGCATGCGGGGCCAGAACGGTAAGGGGTTGACCCATGGTCAGTTTGCCAGAATCTTTAACCAGAATTGCTATCGCCGCTACCATCCGGAGGCAGGGTGGCCATCCTGCGGCCACTGAGTCCAGTTTCTTGGATAAATAGGCCACCGGTCTCCTCCATGGTCCCAGCTTCTGGGTTAACACCCCCTTCGCGTAGCCCTGTCTTTCGTCAACGTATAACTCGAAGGGCTTCAGCAAGTCGGGCAGTCCCAGGGCCGGGGAGTGTAGGAGGGCCTGTTTGATATTCTCAAAGGCCTGCTGCTGATCCGTTCCCCAGTTATAGGGGATGCCGGTCCGCGTGAGGGGATAGAGGGGAGCGGCCAACTCAGCGAAACCCGGGATCCAGAGGCGGCAGAAGCCTGCGGTTCCCAGGAATTCCCGTAATTGACGGGGGGTTCTTGGGGCGGGAATGTTCAGAATGGTTCGCTTTCTGGCCTCAGTTAGCCACCTCTGCCCTTCCCTTATTTTGTAGCCCAGATAGGTCACTTGTTTTAAACAGAGCTGGGCTTTCTTGGCCGATGCCCGGTACCCCAGACTCCCCAAGACCTGGAGTAGGGTCTCGGTGCCCCGGCGACAGTCTTCCTCTGACGTAGCCGCCAGCAGCAAATCATCTACGTACTGGAGCAGAATCAGAGAGGGGTGCTGGACCCGAAAAACGGCCAGATCCCGGTGTAGTGCCTCGTCAAAGAGAGTGGGGCTGTTTTTAAACCCTTGGGGTAGCCTTGTCCAGGTCAGCTGACCGGAGATTCCCCGAGCTGGGTCTCTCCATTCAAAGGCAAATAACAACTGGCTGTTGGGGTGTAGCCTCAAGCAAAAGAAGGCATCCTTGAGGTCCAGGACCGTATACCAGACGTGGGTAGGCGATAGCCCACTAAGGAGGTTGTAGGGGTTGGGCACTGTGGGGTGTAGATCTTCAACCCGTTTATTAACCTCTCGGAGGTCCTGGACTGGTCTGTAGTCCCCCGTTCCTGGTTTTCTGACGGGTAATAGAGGGGTGTTCCAGGGGGACTTACAGGGTACGAGGATCCCTTGATCCAACAGTCTATTGATGTGAGGAGTTATGCCTTCTCTGGCTTCCTTGGACATTGGGTACTGCTTTACGGCGATTGGGATGGCGTTCGCTTTCAGGGACACAATTATGGGTGGCTGGCTATCGGCGAGACCCATGCCCCCGGTCTCTGCCCATGCTTGGGGGTACTTGAGTAGCCATCCCTCCATATCGGTTGGGGCCTTTTTGCTTCGTTCATGTAGTCTATACTCATCTTCTATGGACAAGGTGAGCACATGCAACGGCCTTCCCGACGGGTCAGTGATGCTGACCCCAGTCTTATCAAAATGTATCTGAGCCTTTAGTTTAGTTAATAAGTCCCTACCCAGCAATGGGTATGGACAGTCTGGGACATGGAGGAAGGAGTGGGTTACCTTGCCAGTCGCTAGTTGCACTTGCCGGTCGGTGGTCCAGCGGTAGGTCTTTCCTCCTGTGGCTCCCTGGACCCAGGCCGTGCGGCCGCTCAACGTGCCAGGAGACCTGGTCAAAACGGAGTGCTGTGCCCCTGTATCCACCAGGAAGGTGACGGGGTGCCCCCCTACGTGTAGGGTTAGCCGCGGCTCAGGGGGGGGCTCCTGGCCTCGACTCCCCTAGTCTTCTAGGTTTAGGAGAGAAGCTGAGGCCTGGGGTCTTGTATTTCTGTTCCGACTTTGCTTCTTTGGGCACTCCCGAGCCCAGTGGCCCCGTTCTTTGCAGTAGGCACACTGATCTTTATCTACCCTGGGTCCTCTTCGATCTCCTCCTTGTCTATCCTGCCGCTGTCTCTGTCCTGACACTACAGTGGCCATCAACCGTGAAAGCTCCCTCTGTCTCCTTTTATCCCTGGCATTTTCTCTCTCTTCCATTTCCTTTCGCTGCCTTTCCTCCCTCTCAATGTTTTCTCTCCTCCAACGCTCTTCTCTCTCTTCCTGGCTCTCTCTATTATTGAATACCTTCTCTGCCTCCTTTAGCAAATCAGGGACCGTATACCCCTGTAAATTGTCCAGCCTCTGTAACTTATTACGGATATCTGGGGCGGACTGCCAGATAAACGCCATGGCAAGACCAGTGGCTTGTCCTGGGTCCTCCGGATCGTAAGGCGTATACATGCGGTATGCCTCCTTCAATCTCTCAAGGAACGCGGCGGGCGTTTCCTCTGCTCGCTGCAAAACCTGTTTTACCTGAGCCAAATTGGTGGGGCGCCGAGCTGCCCCCCGGAGACCTGCTATGAGCAACTGGCGGTAGAGACGAAGATGAGTCCTACCTGCCTCAGTACTAAAATCCCATTCCGGCCTGGTTAAGGGAAAGGCTGCATCGATCTCATTAGGGAGCTGGGTAGGCTGTCCGTCCGCTCCCCTCACATTCTTCCGCGCCTCGAGGAGGACCCGCTGCTTCTCCTCAGTAGTCAGTAGCACCTGTAAAAGCTGTTGGCAATCGTCCCAGGTGGGTTGATGAGTCACTAGGACTGATTCTAAAAGGGAGATCAATTGCAAGGGATCTTTAGAAAAAGGAGGATTATTGTTTTTCCAATTATAGAGATCGGAGGCGGAGAACGGCCAGTACTGCAGCTGGCCGTCCGGGCCGGTACGCAGAGGCATGGCGGTGGAGTCCGCAGGGGCCTGTTCCCGCCGCCCCCTGAGCCGGCTTGCCACAGGTGAGGGGGCTGCCTCATCAGTCGCAGCGGGGCGTTCGGCAGGCATGGCCTCTGCTTCATTAGCCGCCTCGTGGGGTGCCTCTTGATATGGAGGCGGCTCAGACAGGAGATCCATAAGTAGAGTCTCTTCCCCTGCAGGCAGGACCTTAGGTTTGGGGAGGGGGGGCGCCTTAGGAGAGGCTTGCACAAGAGCTGGGTATAGGGCGGATCGGGAGCGGGTAGGGGCTGGGAGTGGAGTCAGGGAGGAGGGAGAGAGGGTGCGGATGGTTTGGCAGACTTGGGGGAGGGAGGGACCACTCCAGAGAGAAACGGCTTGACCCATGCAGGCGGTTTCTGAACCAGAGCTTCCCAGGTGATGATGTAGTCCACCTGGTCAGGGTGTCCATGTGGCCCCGAGTCCATGACTTTTTCTTTTACCTGCCTAATGATGTCTAGGCTAAATGTGCCATCCCGCGGCCACCCGACGTCAAAGGTGGGCCATTCGGAGGCACAGAAAGCTACCCATTTCTTTTTGTGCACTTCAGCGGACTGGTTATGCGCATATTCCTGAATTTCTTTCCAGTGTTCGAGACTGAGGGACAAAGGGGTGGTAATTGCTTGTCCCATTTCTTCCGAAAGGATGAAGACACAAATACCAGTTACAAGAAACAAACACAGAGACAGACAAAGAAGTCGCGCGGCGCGGCTCGGCGCAAGACCGAAAGCAAACTCTCAGATGGGAGGGCAACCTGCCTCTCTCCCTCCCTCAGTAGGGCTGAAAATCCCTCCCCTTGAGGGACGGCTCCAAACAGGACGGAAAAATGCCTGGGCATAGACCGTGAGAGCCAAAAATCAGACGCTCCTGGGACGTCTCCCGGAGCCTCAGGGGGGGGTTTACGAACCCGTCGTCCCCCCCCTACTGCCAATTACAGATGTACACAGCTGAGTACTACGGACGCAGGCGCGGTTTCAGAGACACATACGATCGGGCAGGCAGACACTGGAGGACACAAGACACCAGACAAACAGCGGATCCGCACAGTCAGCTTACCTCCCAGTGGTGGGTCGGTGGTCCCTGGGCGGGGGTCTTCATCCCGGACGAGCCCCCAAATGAAAGACCCCGTACTAGGGATACTTTCAATCTGAGAGACCCCCCCAAGGACCAGCGAGGCCACACGTATGGATGCAATCAGCAAGAGGTTTTATTGATCACACATACGGGTACCCGGGCGTCTTGGTCTCGGGAACCAAGCGCGCCCAGATGGGGAACGGGGGTGCCTTATATAGCGAAAAGCGTGGGTACAAAAGCGGATGCATGGTCACAGGATTTTCGTTGGTCAAATTTAATGGGGCGAGAGATTTAGACTGGGGCCACCTGGCTTGAATACAAGGAAGTCGCAGGAGGTTGACTTAGCTTTCATCTCGGGCACATTGTGGATGGGAAACTCCCCGGTGTTAACTCCCCAGTTCTGGATGGCCGACCACTAATATCCTGTTTGTCAAGCCCTCGAGGCGCCAGGGGCCCTCGACCTTAGCGTGAACTCAGACAGTTCCTGGTGGGCTATGTCGGTAGGGGGCCAGGGGCCCTCGACCTTAGCGTGAACTCAGACAGCTCCTGTTGGGCTATGTCGGGAGGGGGTCTTTCAACTTGAATCCAGATCCTTATATGTGAGCTCTTTAGCTATTGAGCTATACCCCCAGTCCACTTTTTTTTTTAATTTGTTGTTTTTGTTGTTGTTTTGTGTCAGGGTTTCACTATGTTGCCCTGACTGGCCTGGAGCTCACTAGATAAATCAAGTTGGATCACAGAGATCCACCTGCCTCTGCCTCCCTTGTGCTGCAATTAAAGGTGTGTGCCATCAATGCCCAGGCCAGATTTTATTTTTATTTTATTTATTTATTTATTTATTTATTTATTGGTTTTTCGACACAGGGTTTCTCTGTGGCTTTGGAGGCTGTCCTGGAACTCGCTTGGTAGTCCAGGCTGGTCTCGAATTTACAGAGATCCGCCTGCCTCTGCTTCCCGAGTGCTGGGATTAAAGGCGTGCGCCACCAACGCCTGGCTCCAGATTTTATTTTTAATCCTCTGATTATTATTAATAATTGAGGTGGACACAGTGGTGGTGTACCCCTTTAGTCCCAGGACTCAGGAGGCAGAGGCAGGTGGATCTCTGTTAGCTTGAGGTCAGCCTGGTCTACAGGGTGAGTTCCCGGACTAGACAGGGAAACTGTGTCTCAAAAAGGGGAAAAGAAAATTTGACTTAGAGGGACTAAAGGGCTGCTGCTATCGTTTGGGAGGATGGATGGGAGTCTGAGAATGATGAGCAAATGTTGTCTTTACTGAGCACACAAGTAAGTCCCCATCACCCAGCTCAGGTCCCAAACTCTGCACAGAAAGCCTCTATTCACTTCACTCTTCTGCTCAGAGCTCTTCCCAGGGCTCCCCTCTGCCTGTAAGATGAAGCTGCAAAGCTCCTACTATTGAAGCTTCACAGACCACCGATTTCCGCACAAGCCAGTGCAAGCTGCTCACTGCTCCTGCACTCTGACCCCATCACCTCTATGTCCCAGGCATTCCCTTTGTCTCACATCCTACTTCCTCACCTCATCCTACAGCGCTCTGTTACTACCTCCTCCGTGAAGCCTTTCAAGACTTATGTCCCTCAAACTGAATCTGGGCTTCTCAATTCTGGGCAGCAGATGTAGTTCTACAGGACTTGGTCATATCACGTGGTCATATTCTGCCTGTATCTCCCTCCACAACTAGATGTGATCTCTTCAAAAGACAAGATGGACCATACTTTGTTCATCTCTGTGCTGGTCCAAAGAAGGCTTTCATGACTGCGTCCACAAGGGCTCCCTGATTCCCTTGAGTATGCTTTTGTGCTCTCCGGCTCCGGCTCCCTCGCCTCCCACCTCTATCCACCCATCCACAGCAGGGTGCTTTAAGTTCTACATTCTCCCAGTGCCTATTCAGCAAAAGCATGCCTCTTGACAATCAGGAGCAGGTGAAGAAAAGAAACTATGATGCATTGTGACCTGTAAAGTTTGTTTTGAATACACACCTTGTCTCACTAATCAGGATAGCACCATGGCGTGTAATACAGATTAGATACATTGTTGTAATATAAGAAAAGCAGTGTGAGAGAGAAAGATGCCATGCAACAGGATTCAAGCAAAGGGTTTTGTTTTATTTTGTTTTTTCTTTTTTGAGAAAGGGATCATAAAAAGCTGAAAGGGGAGGAAAGGGGAGTGGGGAGACCAGCTTCCGGGGACAGGAGTAGCAGGAGAGAGTAAAGAGGGACAGAGAGAGACAGAGAAAGAGAGACAGAGAAAGAGAGAAGGAGGAGGTAAGGTGGGAGGAAGGAGGGAAGGAAGGAAGAAGGGAGGGAGGGAGGGAAGGAGAGAGGGAGGGAGGGAGGGAAGGAGGGAGGGAGAAAGAAACAGGATGGGAGTGGGCAGGGCCCTTTTAAAAGGGAGCATAGTGAATGTGCATAGGTGGTGTTCTTAGTGGCTGCACCTGAGGACTGTCAGAACTCAAGATCAGGTCAGTACAGATGCCTGAATACTAACATATATGAAATGCAGAGACGTGTGACCTGCCCCAAATCACATATGTAACCAGAGACAGAATCCTGATGAACCTAGCTAGGTCCCAGCTATGCTGTTATCTCTTCTTGCCTTTAGTCAATGTGAATGAGATCAAACATTATCATAAGGTCCTGGCATGCCACAGTGGAGATGTGGAGCTGCTATCTGTTCAGACGGATAAAAAGGAAGCTCGAAGAGGGGGCAGGACTCCGGGAACAAGGCAAGCTCTGTTCCTTCCTGTCTGTTAACCTGAGTCTAGGCTCTTTCAACTATGAATGGGTCAAGGCTATCGGAGTAGGGCAGGGCCTCCTTGCAGAAACATGGTGTGAGCATGAGGAGGGCATCGGACTGGCTAGCCAGGAAAGGAGAGGTATTGCTCAGGCACTCATCCTCGCCCTCTCTTCTGACGCTACCTGCCTGGGCTCTTGCTCAAGGAGCTCTTCACTTGATCTCATGAGCCCTGAGGGCACCTGGTAGTTTGGTCCAGATCACTGTTGCTTCCCCAGCACTGTATGGTCTTAGCATAGCCTTGTGAGCCAAGGGTGACATCTTCCAGCTTCTAATTTCCTTCATCTTTACATCTTCTCAGCAGTGGGAGCAGGGAGTCTCTTTTGTCTGGAGACAGGGATCTTGAACTTGTGAGAGTGCAGAATGAGATGACCCTGAAGAACTAGTTGGAAGCAGGGGTACCAGTTGACCCACAGAATCTCTATGTACTCTCCACGTTCCTCAGTTTCCCAAGAACTGGGGGTTAGAATCACCAATCATCCAGCTTAGGAAGTATTCCTGTGGAGTGGTCCACGGCCTCATGAGATCAGATGGATCAGTCTTGAGGCCTCTCCTGATCCATAATTACCTAACCAATATTCCAGGAAGTGGCAGCCTCAAGTGACTTCAAGGGCCCTCAGATACTTCCTTACAAGGAGCCTCTCTTGGAACCTTCATAGTTGCCTCCTCCTAACTTTCTGCCCCACTTCCTCTTCACAAGGTAAATAAAGACACAAGATCAGAAAAAAGATGAGATATTCCCATCCTAGCATCTACTCCAGGAAGCCCTTGCTCCAGAACCTTCCCATTCCCTATCCCATTCCCTAGAGCATCACCACCCAGGATGTAAATTGGCCAGTGAATTTTTGAGCCAAGTATGGGCTTGACCCTTTCCTCTAGAAATCAGGGTCATAGATATGACAGGTTGGGACTATAGATCAATCTTACTACTAAGTGACAGACTGCAAATACTCCAGCTGGTAGCAACAGTATTCAACAACAGTTTTCCTCAACAATTACATGCAAGTACCAACTTCCAAGTAGTTCCTCCTGGTAACTTGCCCTGGCAGCATCCCACTGGGCCAGAAATACCACCCTGAGTCATTAGATGTAATCTAACCCCCAACCATTTACAAAAAAAAATGCTTTTTCCTGTTGAGACAAGGTCTTTCTATAGCCCTGCCTGTCCTGGAACTTACTCTGTAGACCAGGCTGGCATCAAAAATCACAGAGATCTGCCTACCTCTGCTTCCCCAGTACTGGGATTAAAGATATACAGCTAGTTACAAGCAAATTTTATCTCCTTAGCAAAAAGAGTCTTACTTGGTGAGGTTTTGCCCTGTATAGAAATAATGATAACAATAACAGCAGCAACAAAGCACTTTATAAAGTGCTTACATGGGTGGT